CCTGGCCCGCATCCAGCCCGGGCTGGCGAGCCCTGCCATCCCGCACCGAGAGCGCGCTAATGGCAGAAGGAACCAGGGAAAAGAAAGGCTCCCAAAGGCCCGGGTCGGTGCTGATAGCAAATCGTATCCAGACCGGGGCAGAGCGCCGGGAGCGGCTCTCTTCACTAGATGCAAACAGAAAAAAGGCTGCCTTTAATAACAATGTGCTTAAACGTCGCAGGCAAGCCCCTTCCCCTCGGATACCCCGCGTCAGGATAACGCGGGATGAGGTAAAAGCCCTCCAGACCCTCCCCGTGAAACGCGAATTGTCTTTTTCAACGCGATGCAAATGGGGGGAAAAGCAGCTGCAAAGCTGTACAATAAACTGTTTCATCCAAGGCAGCGCCAGCTCAGGAAGGCACGCCTTTGAATACCACCCCCACAAGACACCTCCTTCCCACCCGTGCAGGCAACCTCTGTAGGCGATAACCAAGTCTAAAAACTCGGAGAGGATCGATAATGTCTGCTAAATATTCTGAGAGTGTATGAGTGTGGCGGGGAGGAGGGATGAGGATAAGGATAAAAAGGGTGATTAATCGGATATTAATCACTGGCCACAAACAAGGGGAGATTATTTCGGGTAAGCAGCCGACTGTGGGGAGTAGCAGAATAGATCCTTTTACTGAAGGCACGCGTGATGGGATCGGCACTTCACTGTTTAGCGATGCCTGTGTAATTCTGCAGGTGCACATTATTCAAGCCACATATTTCTTCTTTTCTCTGTATGTAGCATTTCCCTTAACTGTCTGCAAGCACAGACTTAGTGGAGATATTTATGCCGCTAACTAGACATTTCCTTTCTGCTCTCCTTTCATGAACACAGAAGCAAGAAGAAAGCAAAATAGCCCCTGCCATAGAGAAAAAAAAAAAAAAAAAAAAAAAAAAAAAAAAAAAAAAAAAAAAAAAAGAAAAAAAGAAAAGAGAGAGACAAAAACCATCACCCAAACTCCCTCATATACATCAGAGAAAAGGGACCAAGGGAGGGAAAAGGTGTCGATCTTTGCACCCAGCGACAGACCATGCTTTCAAGGCTGAATTACCAAGGCACCTTTCCGACAGCCTGGGAGCCCTGAATGCGTACAGACAGCTGAGCGTGAAGCGCATTCCGGGCTGTGAGACGGCTCCGCGTACGCCGGGCTCCTCCGGAACTTTCCCCACTCAACGGGTTAAACTAATAAGTGCATCGATACAGGCATTCCCGCAAAGATCCCGCTGCTCGACCGAAAAACAGAATTGTAGGTAATCCCCCCCCCCCACCCCACACTAACATCATCGTCACCTTAAAAAAGTGAACCGGTGGGATTTGTTTGAATATACACTAGTTAGAGGCTATACGAACCAACTCACGTCTCCGTTTGAGCATACTGCAAGAATATTTATTGAGCCCCAGCTCAGTCACTGCATTGAACGCCAGCTCTGGCAAGCAAATACATTTCCTATCTCCAAAGAGAGCTCTGAATCAACTCCTTCTTTCCTCCCCGCTTTGCCGATCATTTATATATTTCCATTGCAAAGTACCAAGGGCAAAAATCTAAAATAAGAGATAAATATATTTTGAAACACACCTTGGTACAAGGCGAGAGCTTGCAACGCCCTGACAGAAAGCAAATGGACCCCTAAAAATATACCACTCAAATACTACCCTACCTTTCACACACGAAACCATCAATAAAAAGACGAGGTTCCAAAATGTAAATCCACTTTTAATCTCCATTTTCTTCATCAGGATGAAGTCCAGCCGGCCACATTTAGTACATCCCCTTTCCCAAAAGTCTGCTAATTTCGATTCCTTTGCACGGATTTCCCCTCTGCAGATCCCTTTCATATTATTCTTGAGAGCTCCTAATTCCTATTCCTCGGCCAGGCGCAGCGGAGTTGTTGCTGTTGATGGTGCGCGGTCACAGCTCGGAGTGAATGGTGTTTCTGGGATACCACAGCAACCTTGACGAGGACTCAACCATCTCTCCAACGGGGGCACAAAGTCTCAGCTACTCTCGATCGTGTCTTTTCCTCCCCCCCACCCCCCCGCTACCCCAACTCCCTGCACAGCCNGGTGTGCGGGGGTGCTGCGGGTGCATTTCTGCGCGTAAGGGGCGCGCGTGTGTCGGGCCCCGCAGTGCGCGCGTGGGCGGCTGCTCCGGGGGGCGGAGTGTGTGTTTGGGTGCGCGTGTGCCCGCGGGTGCGCGCTTGTTTGTACGTGGGAGTGTCTGTGTGCTTGTGTGAGCTTCTCGTGTGCTGTGGGATTGTGCGTGTGCCCGCCTGTGCAAGTGCTTGTGTGGTTCAGTGCGGGTGTGTGCCCACGCCTGTGCACGCTTCTGCGTTTGTGTGAGTGTGCGTGGATTCTTTCCGGTGCATCTGTGTATGTGCATTTTGTGCACGTGTATTCGTGTGAATGTGTTCTTACACGTCAGCGTGTGTGCCTCTGTGTGCTTTTGTCTTGCCTGTGTGTGCACAGGGGTTTGTTCACACAACTGTTCCTTCATACAGGTTTGTGTGCTTAAGTTTTTGCATGGATGTGCACATGGTGCACGTGTGCACATGTGCATTTGTGTAAATGCATCGAGTGTGTAAAAGCATTATCTGAAGTACCGATGGACATGGGTGTGTGAGCTGGGAAATTCTGGCAGCCAGTCACAAAGCATGGGTCCTTGCAGGTGTGTCCACAGAGGGGTTTGCATTTTCCTGTGTTCAAGTCTGTGGGGGTGTGTCTTAGATGCATGGAGTACATTTGTGGAAAGATGTATCCTGGTTAGGAACTTTGAATGTGGACTGAAGCTTTCTATATAGGTGTGGGTGCATGCATGAATTTGTATGACCACATATTTTTATACATACATGATACATGTAATAGTACCACAACACCACAGATAACAGTAATGAAGAAATCTGGAAAGGTAATGATTCACCCTTTAGTTCCAAAGCCCAGTTTAAGAGAGGAGGTTTGCACGGCTGTGATTCTGCTCCCATGTGGGTGTCAGGGTGAGCAGTATGTGCCTTTCTTCCACCTGTACTTAAAACCAAACCCTCTTTCAGTGAGGCCAGCAGCAATTCAGTGTGCCTCTGCCTATGGCTGGCTGAACTCTATAGCTCTAATGCATGAGGAGAGAATACCTTCAGCTACAAGTGCTGACACTTACCAGCCCCATTGGATCCGTACATGTTTGTTGACTGGGGAGAAGCAAAGGTATGTATTTCACAGCCTGGTGTACCATCCACAGCCTTCTCTTGCAGACACATAAGTCTTGAAGTGTGACTGCTGTAATTGAAACTTGGTAGGCTTGTTTGCTTTCTCTGCAGTGGCACAAGAATGTGATCACACGGTGATGTGAGCCTTGGTGTTAAGGGCGCTGCCATGTCAGCATCAGTGTTATGACAAAATTTCATTTAAAAATGTCAAAGTTTTTAAAACAAGTGGTCTTTGTTTTAGTTAAAGTGGGATAGGTGAAAATCACTCTGTTCTAAACCTGTCAACTGTATTTATTAATTATGGAATCTATCTCTTTACTATATATATGTATTTATATTTATGCATGTAACTGGAATCCATTTTTTCAAGAGAAATTCAAAACTACAGTCCTGTGCTTTCAGAACAGCATAGATGGCCACATCTCAGGTATTCATATTTTGGGGTGTGTATCCTTGGAAGAAAATTCTGCCTTTATTTCCCCAAGAACACTTTCTGGTTCTGAAATTCAAAATCCCTTGGTGTAAATACTTTATCAGTTGTAGAGGATAATAAATAGATACTGAAGATATAGACTTGTTATTTCTAATTAATGCATTCCATTGCTCAGTACTTCAATACCTAACTTATTTAGAGGTCTTTAATGTCATTAGAAGTCACTTTTGTTTGACATCCAGCAAGATTTGTGCTGTAAGTTATCTGTATTACTCCTGAAAATGAATTTTTGGTGCATTAGATGTTAAACATGAACAAAGAAATGGTTATAGTTAAAAAAGGGACCAAAGATTTTTTGTGGTGTAATTCCTACTAATTTTCAATGACCCTCAGGTTTCCAAGTGATTTAGATGCATTTTAAAAAATAGCACTTCAGCTACTAAGGTAAATGTTAGCCACATTTGGCAGTATTAATTGTAGAGATGGACTGGAATTTCTTTATAGTTCACCCCACCCCAACCCTCCAACACTGTGATGTTGCAATTTTCTTGTGATTGGTTGATTGTTGTTCAATACTAGTGTCCCATAATCTTTTGTGTGATTCTGGTTCAAGTTGCAGATTATGCTGTATGTTTCATACTCATAATGTGTCCTCCTCCTCCATCTTAGTTTTCCTTCCTGTCTTCCTTCCTTCTCTCTGTCCTCTCATTCTCTCCTTTCTCTGCTCCATTTCTTCTTCTTTTCTTCCCTTCTTGTACTCTTTTACTCTGCTTTTCTTCCTCCCTTCGTGTTTTATTTTTTTTCTTCCTCATTCATTTTCTTTCTCACCCTCTTTGTTTTTTCTCTTTATTTTCTCTCCTTTCTCACTTTTGGCATGGTCAAGCTTATTGATCATTTGGGTATCAATCAAGGATGAAAGTGACTTGGCAAGGACCATTAAGTCAATCACTATGATTAAATACTCCCAAGAATTTTAAAATGTGCTGAAATCAGAAATGGGCAGATACTTAACTGTCTGACCTGTCAGGCACATGAATATCAGCACTGCTAGTGGAAAATTTGTATCACAGACCTGACAGGCTGTGATGCCTTAGTTACACTATCTGTAAGCAGGCACTCTTGCCTCTGAATCTCCAGGAAATAAATACGCCAAAAAGTTCTACAGAATAATGTGTTACTATTGGTATTCACATTTTCTCTGTTCACAGTTCCCTGCTCACTTTGCCAAGGCAGATCAAATTTAAGGTTGATAATTACATTACGAATTCCTCCTACATTTTCAGCTGCATTTGTTATTCTTCATTCACTGTCATATACTTTTGTGTAAGGTAGCTGTATTTTGTTAAATAGCTCCTACATTTTGCTTCCAGGTAACTTCACTCTAATTCTGGATAGACTGATTGCTTTGCTTTAAAAAATGCAGTGGGGTCTTCTGTGACAAATAATGCTGTGAATAATACAGTGCACAATGCTTGCAAGCACAGAGAGCATGTGTAGGCATGTGTAAAGCATATAGGCAGTGATATTTAAAAATGAGTATTTGACTTGGGATACAAAACTGATTCACTCATATCATATAATCCTTTTGAAAATCCTGACTGAATGCAGAATATTCTGTATTCCCATAACGTAGTCCCATAACTTAATTAATGTGATTATAAACATTGGTATGATTGTTGGTCTGAACTCTGACCTAGAACCTGGACTGCATGTTTATCAGTGAGACCTAACATTCTTGAAAACAGTAGGAGAATATTAGAAATATGCTGTAAACTTCCATTTCCTCACTTATGCTTTTGAACATGTGTTGGAGTTCTTCAGGGTAGGTCGGGAAGGGGAGGTCCACAATTGTGCCACCCCCACTTCATTCAGACTAGAATAATTTTACTGAATGAAACAAATAATGATTTTTCAATAGAAAAAAAGTGCATGGAGATCATTCCACAAATATTGGGATACTACCATGTGCTGCTGTTACTGCTTCATATTCACAGTACAGGATACAGTCATAGTATGAAGATTAGGTATAATACAACCCAAACAATGAAATGATGCATTAAAGCAAATGTAGTGATGGAAACAGCTGGAGGTGAAAATGCCATATTACTGACCTCCTCCTGACTAAAGCTTTCACAAGTAAGGTTCTAAGCTGCCCCTAACGTAAAATACCTCTGTTCAATAAAACTAAATGGCAGCAATATTCAAGAGTACCCACTACAGTCCTGTCTTAAAAAATAAAGAATATTTCCTTCAGATTCACTGTGCACAGGGAGATGGGGTTCAAGTTTCAGTATCACAATTATCTATGATTTTGTTAACTCCCTGTTAAATGTTCCTTGTATTCTGCTAGAGGCCACATGTGAAATCTGTTTGGAGACAAGAGAGAGAATGCAATTGTCTTCTATGCAACATTTCCTGATTTAGATGTTGTACCATATAACACTTATTTCTCAAGTGGGAACCAAGGAATTATTTTTGTTCTACTGCTACAGGATTTTTCTTATCTTAGTGACTAAATTTATTGTATCAGTCATGATCAGTCAAAATGATGTTGGTGTGTAATTGTGTTGAGATTTAGACAACTGGCATTCACAGCAAAAGCTGTCACTACTGTGATGTTCTGCCATCTCTTGTCAGCAGAGTTTGATGATTTGGGAATCCTATAGGGTTTGTAAAAAGCAGAAGTGGCTGAGTTCTTTACACAGGCAGAATGACTTTTTACATAGTATGTACAGTGCAATTAGCTTTGGCAGAATTTATATCTTGATCCCCCTGTCTTTACTAATGGACTGGCTCCTGTTCAGATACCTATTTGAACACTAGCTGTATTACTCCTTAGCTCCAGAAATTTAGGACTTTCATTCCATGACCAAAAATGCTTATTCTGCCCAATGCAGTGCTTTTGTGGAGATATGAAGTAAAAGAGTGTAACAAAAATGTGATAGCTCCCATGTGAATGTGATACACTACAGCATTGTGCAGTGGAAGCTTTCCAAGGGACGCTTGAATGGTGAAAGTTTAGAAAATACATTTAATATTATCATTGCACCAAATAAAATTATTTTATATATACTTTGAGACAGATTATCACCTTGAGTTCTGTATACCATGGACATAAAAAAGGGAATTTCCATAATAGGAAATTACTGCACATAGTGTCAGTAGAACAAAAGAGAAGAAAAGGTAAATATTGTGGGGGAAAAAGTGTGCTAGAAAATTGCTATGCTTTGTCACTAATGTAATAAGCAAAAGGGAGTTATCCAGAATTGCATCAAATATTATCCTTCTGTTATAATAGTACTACTGCATTGTAGTAGAACTGTATTCTACATACTGTAGAGAAAAAGAAACCAGAAAAGGGTAGAAAAAAATTTGTTTATTTAGTG